ATTAGATCAAGACATTATTACTGAAATTTTAATGAAATATCAAACATATCAAATATCATAATATTATTTTTCACAATGTTGTGATTAAATCAAAAATACAATTAAAAAATAAAAAATTTTCAATCAACAAATATAACTAAACGAGGTGTTTATTTTTTGTTTTTGTTGTATATCAAGTAGTCTATTATATCAATATTGACAATTGTCTGTTATTTCAGTGTTTTTTCTTGATATTCTGATGTGTACAAATATATTCAACAACAATACAAATGTTAACAATATATATATATTTATTAATAACATTAAAAATATTATAATTGTATGTATATTTAGAAATTCATATAACAACTATTAACATAAATAACATCAAGTGACCAATGAAGTAACAATTAAAATCTTACAAACAATTTTAAATTATTACTAAAATATACACAATAAAAAATATTGTAAAAATACATTGTTAATTTAATAAATTAATTTTTTAAAACGTTTCAATTGTTACCAGTAAAAAAATTAAACAACATAAAAATGTAAATAAACAACCAAATAACAACACTATCATCCAATAAAAAAATATCAAATTATTATACATATATACATAAAATGTGTTAAGACGTAGAACTAAACTGAGAATATAATTGTTGATTTTTTATTAAATAATATAACACTTTTTCAAAAAAACAGTTTATTTATAGTTTTCATGAATTTACACATATTAACGTTACGAAGTGAAAACTGGATATTTATATCCTTGATTTTTTTCCTAAAAATAAGTCACTTTTTTTTATTTTTGTATTTGAACTAAAAAGATATTAAATTAAAAACGCCGTGTCAGAAACCAAATTATATAATGAAAAATTGATAAAAATCGCTCTCATGAAAACTTATGTGTATGTCTCGTAACAATAAGTATTGACAAATTTGAACACATGGAAAATAGGAAACATGAGTCTGTAAAGACCATTAGTTTGCGCTAAAACTAATCGATTTCGTATTTTGAATTTGTTTTTAATTATTCTAAAAACGGATTATAATCTAGATAAATTAAATCGAGATTTCATTTTTCCACTAAAAAAAGTTGATTCAGTTGACTTGCTAAGGTTAAATAATAATAATACAATTAAAGTATTGCATTAACAGAAAGACTATCTTGTATGATTTAATTATTATTAATAAATAAAAGTATATTTAATATTAAACATACACAGAAAAGTTAATAATCTGCTTTTTTTCTTGCAGCATATTGTTTTAAAAGTTTTAACTAAAATGATACAATAAAAAGTATAATACTAATAATCACATCGCAATGAAAAATTTTTCATTTTGTATATATTAGCTAATGTGGTAAACAGTACCATATATTTTATTATTTGAATTAAATTTTATTTATTAAATCAAGAAGGAGCAATCAACAAGAAAAAGTGTATTTAATCCTCTTTAACTTTAGGATTGCAAATGAATAACAAATTTAAAAACATTTTAAATAAAAATTTGAGAATGGCACACTTGTAATAAACTTGGGCCATAAAGTCCGACACTTTATAACAGTATTTTTTTATTTTGTTTTTCGGGATATTAATATATTTTGTCGAAATTTATACCTGTTTTATTTATCATTATTTTCCCTTATTTTTGGTTTTTTGCGTCTTATTTTTTGATTTTTAATTTTCTACTTACACTACAATTTCCTTATTTCAAAATCACGAAATATTTTGGTTTATAAAACACGAAAAATTAATTTCATACCCAAATTTTATACAAAAACCGCAAATTTAATCAATATTATAACATTTAAAAATATGAAAATAAAATTATTTTTTTCAATTCGTTGATTTTTACAATAACAACTAAAAACACGACTTAATTATAATTTTATTATTAAATTAAACTAAAAAGTGTATCAAAATTTTATATGGAAACACATGAAATCAATCAAAACACCACAAGTAACAAAAATTTTTATTTTCGTTATGTTGAAAATATTAAAATATTAATTATAAAAATGTAAATATATAATGATTGATTAATTTTGTTTTTATAAATGAAATATAGGTGATTCGAAATATTAATTGGAATAAAAATACTTTTTTATTATATAATATAATAAAAATTAACGATTATTACTTGTTTTTATTTGACTTTTATAATATTAAATCATTTCTTTATTAATTTATTATAGAATTTGTTTAATAATAATATGAAAAGACAAAGCAAATTACATTATTGTTTCATGACAGAAATATATAACAATAATGACATTTGTAAATGGAACACTTTTCATCAATTATTGTGATTATAATAAAATGTATTATAATTA